GCAGCTCTGCTTTGTTTACAGCGGTAACCAAGGAAACACTGTATCACTGCTGTTCATAAGAGCAGCTCTGCTTTGTTTACAGCGGTAACCAAGGAAACACTGTATCACTGCTGTTCATAAGAGCAGCTCTGCTTTGTTTACAGCGGTAACCAAGGAAACACTGTATCACTGCTGTTCATAAGAGCAGCTCTGCTTTGTTTACAGCGGTAACCAAGGAAACACTTTAAGCGCCACCTGCTGGCAGAGAGTGAATCTGCGTCTCGTTCAGCTCGTCTGCTCTTGCTGTTTCATGCAGATATTTATGTATAGTTTCACAAAACTGAAGTCAAACCATTCTGTTGTTGCTTCAAATTTCGAAATTATACAATCTAATCTAGATTAAAATCTGCTCATGTTGCATGTATGCAGCATCTTTGTTCAGATCATGATTAAAATGCAGTGTTTGCCTCTCATTTTAAACGGAAAGAGCACAGACAAAGCCTTTTGTTTATATGAAGAAATTTATTTTATTTGTGTTATTTATTTAATTCGGGGCTTGTTTTAAAATTTCAATTCAGTTTTGTTATTTACATTTACATTATATTTAAATTGAGTCATTTAGCAAATGCTTTTATCCAAAGTGACTAACAAATGAGGACAATAGAAGCAAAAGGAGCAGTAATATGCAAGTGCTATATTAGTATATTATTATAGTGTTATATTTCAATTTCACAAAGAAACTTGCAGCATTTTGTCCAAGCAATAATAAAAGGACACATTTAATTTATAATTTGTCTTAAATCTCATTTTGTAAAAAAAAAATCGGGAATCGAGTCGTGAGTTGAGTGAATAGTTACGTCCCTATTTACCACTGATCATAATAACACTGCATCATATCTGCTGAATGAAATCCAACACTCGTTTCTTACTGATTCCAGAAATAGCTTCTGTTTTGCAGTTTCACGTCATACTTTCTCACTAAATATGATGCATTCAGTAGCGTTTTTGCCTTTGAGAATCATTTGTGTGGTGAATTAGTCTTGCATTCTCCCTTAATCAGTGAAAAAACACTACAAACACATGATTCCTGTCTAAATCTGAGTCAGATTACAACTATCTGATCAATTCTCGGCCCGTTTTCACGTGTTTGACTTTATTTTATTTCTAATCCTGATTTCATTGTTAGAATTATGGAAAATGCAAACATGAGCAGATGTTTCCTGGCTTTACTGCATCCAAACAGACAGAAAATAACAGATTTTGTGAAAAATGCTTATTTTGTGAAGTTCTTTGGCATTAAATGGAGTATTTGAACATATTTTCCCACTCCTTTAAGTTAAATAATTAATTTTGGATACTTCTTTTTGCCATTACAAGTAAACTTTTGACATTTGGCTGCTTTGATAAGTGCATTAAAGCTGATACATATGTATAATGTATAAAATTTATACAGTTTTTTTTATTTTTGAACTCAGCATCATCAAATTAGGTCATATTAGGCCATTTTTGCAAATCAGCACAATTATTTCCAAGATGCAGGGCTGCTTTTGCTGGTATATTTTGTGCACATGATCTAAAATAATCTTTATAAAACGGATAGTTCCGGTCCTTGATTCTGATTGGCTGAGCCACATTCAAAGCTGTTATAAATTACAAAGTAACATACACCTTTGTTTACGTTTGTGTGTTGCTCAGCAACCACTTTGTAGCAACCACAACTGTTTCTGAGGAGCTACATTGTTTGGTGGAAGAATACTGTTTTTATTAATATCATTACACTTTATTTGCTCTGTTTTATTTTGTGAAACCTAACTACGTATATGGAATAACCGTTTTATAAAAGCAATAACCCCTGTGAAGCCGTGATCTACAGTGAATTTATAACAGCTAAGGCGGTTTTAGGCACTCATTGCTTTAAGTCACCACTTCAAATGTATTTTGTTACTGTTCCTTATAAAGTAAATTATCAAAGTTTTGTTTTTCTGCCAAAGCCAGATTTGAGCCATGTTTGGAGAGTGTTAATATTGTACACAGAGGTGAATGTAATCAATATAGAGTTACTTTATTTCTCTCTCTGCCTTGTTTCTATCAGTGTCTCCTCAGAACGTCAGATTGAGTTACGCTGCTGCTGCTCTGAAATCTGAAGGTTCGTCCACACCGTCGTCTTCCAGCAGCTCACAACAGGTGCTTATTTTTCAAGAAATTAAAGAAATTAGTACTGTTATTCATCAAGGACGCATTCAATTGATCAAAAGTGCCAGTAAAGACATTTATAATGTTGCAAAAGATTTCTATTTCAAATAAATGCTGTTCTTTTGAGCTTTCTATTCATCTGTGAATCCTGAAAATAAAATGCATCACAGTTTCCACAAAAATATTGTGCAGCACGACTGTTTTCAACATTGCTAATAATCAGAAATGTTTCTTGAGCAGCATATCAGCATATTATTATGATTTCTGAAGATCATGTGACACTGAAGACTGCAGTAATGATGCTGAAAATACAGCTGCGCATCACAGAAATACATTACAGTTTAACAGATATTCACATAGAAAACAGCTGTTTTAGATTCTAATAATATTTTACATTTTTTACTGTATTTTTGATCAAATAAATTCATCCGACCCCTAACTCTCTGTTTTTGACCCTGTGAACACCCGAGTGTTTCTTTATCAGGGAATCGAGCTCATGAACTGTCCCGATATAACCGTATTCCTGTCCTCTAACTAAAGAGCAGCTCGTTTAGCTTCCTTATTAAATTAGCTCCAGCTCTTCGGTGGCCATAAATCATCTCTCCGACGCGAACCTGATGCTGGTGCTGAAGCGGCAAATATTTTGTAGCCACCTGTAATGGATTATTGACCTTTTATAGCGTTCCAGAATCATATCCTTATAATTAGAACTGAGAAACTGTGAATCTCCGCAGGATCCGAGATGAAGATGCTGCAGCTGCTGTAGGACAGAGGTTATCGAGTGATTGCTTTTATCACGCACTCTTTAGATAATATTAAGCGCTTGAATGTTGCGTCAAACCTGTAAGACTTTCTTCTGTGCACAAGAGGAGGATCTGGTGAGGATCGAACAGAAGGTCTGGTGACTGTGTGTCTGTGTGTTTCTCATAGGCTCCTGTGAAGAGGAAGTTTGAGTTCAGTAAAGAGTGTCTGGAAGCCGCCGGTCCGCCGCCCAAAAAGCCCAGTTCATCTGGTTCTTCTGAGGCTAACTCTGCCACACCGAAGTCTAAAGCAAGAACCGGAGCAACTGCGAGGCCTGTCAGCAGCGGTAAATGAAGAGATCAATTCATATTCGCCGAACGCATTAACTCAGTGGTTCTCAGAAACTAGGAGTGTCCAGGGATTAAAATAAGTATAATTGAAATCCATTTCTGGATTGAAGAAGTTTTAAGAGCTGAATGTGCTTCTGCTCTTTTAAGCCAAATAATCTGTGTGATTTTGTATTTTTTACTCTCAGTTTTACCTGATTAAACATTTCAGAGCTTGACAAAGCTCTATTCAGAAATAGCATAAGGTTTAATTAAAGGAATAGTTACAATACACCCCGGTATGAAAATGTGCTGATAATTTACTCACCCTCAGGCCATTCGAGATCAGGATGAGTTTGTTTCTTCTTCAGATTTGGAGAAATGTAGCATTGCATCACTTGCTCTGCAGTGAATGGGTGCCGTCAGAACGAGAGCTGATAAAAACATCACAATAATCCACAGCACTCCAGTCCATCAGTTAACATCTGGAGAAGACAAAAGCTGAGACAAATCCAGCATTAAAGGGACAGTTCACCCAAAAATGAAAATGACCCCATGATTTACTCGCCCTCAAGCCATCCTAGGTGTATATGACCTATGTGTTATTTTTCAATAGTCGAAAAGAAGTCCAATAAAGCGCATCCATCCATCATAAAAAGTGCCTCACGCGGCTCCGGGGGGTTAATAAAGGCGTCCTGAAGTGAATCGATGCATTTTTATAAGACAAATATCCATATTTAAAACTCTATAAACCGTAACCTCTAGCTTCTGCTAACTGTTGTAGGAAGTATTATTATGGATTATGGACTCGTATTTGAGTTAAAAACGTCTTAATGCTGGATTTGTCTCAGCTTTTGTCTTCTCCAGATGTTCACTGATGGACTGGAGTGCTGTGGATTATTGTGATGTTTTTATCAGCTCTCGTTCTGACGGCACCCATTCACTGCAGAGACAGTGATGGAATATCTTTAGTTGTTTTAGCTTTCTAAAACTTGTTTTTATTCATTTTAATCATCTTGAGAACCACTGCTCAGAGTGTTTCCATTGTAGGTGCAACTGAATTCTTATCGCGCTTCTTAAATTTGCAGCCTCTCCAGCCCAGAGGACATCAGACAAGCGAGAGAGTCCTAAATCCAAGCCAGAGCCCAAACCTAAACCTAAAGCCAAGTCTGCAGAACCGGTGCCTTTTAACCGCATCATGGAGGGAGTGGTGTTTGTCCTGAGTGGCTTCCAGAACCCCCTTCGCGGAGAGCTGCGGGACAAAGCGCTGGCCTTGGGAGCCCGATACCGACCCGACTGGACCCCAGACTCCACACACCTCATGTAAGGAAGCGTTCAGAGCCTCACGACGTGATTCAGCATTCAGAACCGCCTCGTGTTTGTTCAGAGCTTTTGTGTCTCTCCTGCAGCTGTGCTTTCGCCAACACGCCCAAATACAGTCAGGTGAAAGCAGCCGGAGGCGTCATCGTCAGGAAGGAGTGGGTTATGGACTGCCACAAAACAAAGCGGAAGAGTTCCTTCAAACGGTGAGCATGAAGTTCTCATTTCTGTTCTGTCATTATTGGTAGCTGATGTGAGTTCAGATCATGAGAATCACGGGAATTGCATCATTCGGGTCAGTGGTGTTATAGTAAAAGAAAAAAAAAAAGTTAATTTATTGAAATAAGCTCAAATAAAATATAAGTATTAGATGAAAAGCTTTAAAAATACAAGTTTAAATACTAAAATGACTTTAAAAAGCACAATAAAATTACTGAAACCAGCTTAAATAAAATTAAAATTAAATAGAAATATAAAAAAATGACAAAAGCATTCATTACTAAATTTAGTATTACTAAATTACTCAAATTAATTTTAAGACATTCAAATAAAGCTAAATAAAAATATTAAAGAAAACAAAAACTAATAAGACTGACAAAAGCACATTATTACTAAAACTGAAATAAAAATAAATTAGTTAAATAGAAGTATGTATAAAAATAAAACTAATACAATTTAAAAAGCACAACAAAATTACTGAAACAAGCTGAAATAAAATTACAATTAAATAGAAATATAAAAAAAGACAAAAGCATTAATTACTAAATTTAGTATTACTAAATTACTAAAATTAATTTTAAGAAATTAAAATAAAGCTAAATAAAAATATTAAAGAAAACAAAAACTAATAATACTGACAAAAGCACATAATTACTAAAACTGAAATAAAAATAAAGCTAAATACAAATGTTTAATAAAAACTAATACAAATCACAAAAGCACAACAAAATTACCAAAACTGAAATAAAATAAAGCTAAATAGAAATATTAAACTAATAAAAATGACAAAAGCACAACAAAATTACTAAAACTGAAATAGAAATAAATTAAAGTTAAATAGAAATATGTATAAAAAACAAAACTAATAAAATTTAAAAAGCACAACAATATTACTGAAACAAGCTGAAATAAAATTACAATTAAATAGAAATATTTAAAAAATAAAAATGACAAGCATTAATTACTAAATTTAGTATTACTAAATTACTCAAATTAATTTTAAGAAATTAAAATAAAGCTAAATAAAAACATGAAAGAAAACAAAAACTAATAAGACTGACAAAAGCACATAATTACTAAAACTGAAATAAAAATAAAGCTAAATACAAATGTTTAAAAAACTGATACAAATGACAAAAGCACAACAAAATGACTAAAACTGAAATAAAATAAAGCTAAATAGAAATATAAAAAACTAATAAAAATTACAAATGCACAACAAAACTACTTAAAATGAAATAAAAATTGAAGCTAAACAGACATTTAAAAAAAGACAAATGCACATACAATTACTAAAACTTAAATTAAAATGAAAACTAAAAATAATTAAGTTAATTTAAAAACATAAAAGTAAAAAAGTAATTAAAAATATTAAATACTAAAAAAATTTTTGTTTAAATAATACTAAACTAACACTGATTCAGACATACAGTATTTACATGCAGTTATCATTTCTGACACGAGGTGAACTGAATGTCCAGTGCTTTTCTGACAGTCCGTGTAACTGTGAAGAAGCGTGAGGTTAAGGCTTTATACTCTATAGTTCAAGAACCTCCAGAATGGACCTCAGGGAGGCAGACCACAGAACTACACACACAGATCTGGCTCTGCACTCATCTGCTAGTCGAGTCACGCAGATGCTGATGCACTGGCTCTGATGATGTGCCTTTACAGACGTTGCCGGTCTATAATGACCCATCTGAGTGTGCAGTTCGTTTAAAGTGTGCGTGGAGCAAAAAGTGCTCAGAATAATGAATGATTGAAGTCAGTCTCTCAGTCTGAGTTTCTGGTCGCTGCACGTTAGTGGTTATCATGTTTTGGGACATTGCTGTTGTGTTGCATTGGTTCTCCAGTGTTTCTGCAGGTGGGTTTGTGTTGATTTATCTGTGAAGGTGTTTAAGATAAAGCTGAAGATGACAAACTAAACAGCCATGGCTTCATTCATTGGTTAGTCTGTGCAATACCACTAGCTCATATCAAATATTCACAGTGATTATGGGAATATAAAATTATGCAACTTCATGAATATTGCAATATTTCATTTAATGCATTTTTTTTTTTTTTTATGATAGACAAATATTCATACTGGTATTGATGGTAAATATTGCTATTAATGATTTATGTATTGTTATATTAGTGCATTTAAATTAAAACAATTAAATAGATTTTTTTTCAAAACAGTTTGAAAAACATTTGAACCAGATTTTTACTTAATTTTAAATCTCAGTATTTTAAATCTGCTTCACTGATGCATCATCTGATTTAAAAAAAAAAGGATATATGTATTTTTTATTTTTTTTTTAATGACAAAAGCACAATGAAAGGGTGTTTCCGCCACTTAATAAAAAATTAAAAAATTGCGATTTCTTTTTTTTTTTAATCTCATAGTTCTGACATTACTCGCAATTCTGATTTCTTTTCTCAGAATTGTGAGTTATAAAGTCTAATTCCGAGGGAAAAACAAGACTATTGTCTTATAATTGCGAGTTTATATTTCACAATTCTGACTTTATAACTCGCAATTGTGAGTTTATAGCATGCAATTTTGAGAAAAAAATTCAGAATTGCGAGATATAAAGGATTGTGAGTTTATATCATGCAATTCTGCATAAACAAATATTGCAGAATTTGTCAGTTGTCATCTGTTAAAGCTAAACCTTTAAAAGTGACAAAAGCACAGGAAGAAAAAACTCTAGAAATATAGAGATACCGTATGTGTTCAGTGTTCCTTTAGTGAAAAATAAGCTGTGATCATTTGAATCAGATTTTTACTGTATTTTATTTTTTACATTTCAATCTTTTGAATTTACTTTGATGCATTTTCTTATTAAAATATATGTGTCTTTAATATCAATGTGTGTGTGTGTGTGTGTGTGTGTGTGTGTGTGTTATTTTTGGTATATATTGCCTGGCCCTAGTGATTATCATAACAGTGCTGCTTGATAAAAGCCCAGTGCTGAGCGTGTTTTGTGTGTGTTTATCCGTTTAGCAGTCGTCTCGTCTCGTGTTCTTCTGTGCCGGCTCTCCATTGTGTCTGCTTCGAGTGCCCACCTCAGATTATGTATTCTGTATTTAAAAGCTGCATCTGCCATGAGTAATTAAAGAAGACACTTCCTTTGAAGATGAGGAGGGTGTATCTGTCCGCGCACACGTCTCTCAAACACACACACACACACACACACACAC